TCACCAAGGTCTTGCTTTGCCCTTTTTCTCATCATACTAGATCATTCTATTCTGGCTACTGAATTCCAGTATGTATTCATGAACATCAGCTAATATATGACCAAGTGGTGCTCATGTTAGATATGCACATACATCTATTCTTTTTGGCTATATATTGAAATTAACAGTGTAGTTGTGAGATGGGGAAACAGCTCTCATTGTTTGAACACTGTTTGTGTGCAGTAAATTAAACGTTCTGGACTGACATTCTGCGGTTTAGCCACAAGATGTCACTGTTTTTCTAACACAGCCTCAGACTACATAAATATTTCTATATTCAATAAGAGGTGGGGTTTTCACATGGAGTTTAGTGAACAGGAAGAGGAGACTGCAGCCATGTTTTGGACGATGCTGAATGAAGGGGCCGTGTGAGCTGAGAATCCGATGACATACGGGTGTGAATGCATCCCTCAGTAACCAGAGCTGCGGCTAAGTGAAGCTGATCGTGTCCAAGACCCTGATCTTGTTCAGAGAAAGGAAGATTGCTGCCAGGAATGCTGATGAGAGCAGAAGAACAACGCAACATATACTGCGATATCGCATGCTTGTTGGAGAGACATTTGTTCTGTTCAGAGTCACCAGCGGATGAAAAGCAGACCCGGGTCGGTAAGATCGTGCACGCACCTCATTTCAGTGTTGGCGCCTATAGACTGAGTCCAAGCCTATAGTTAGTTAGGGTCTCTGTTTGTGTCAGGCCACAAGTGTTGTTACTGATTATTGGAAGGACTCCACAACTTAAAGTGACATTTCACATTGGAGAGATGATAAAATCCCACAAACTCAAGCCAGACTGGCGTTTTGCTCAGAAGGAATACTCAGGCACGTGCTACAGGACCAGTTATGGGAGAGGGAATACTGTAGATTTGTGTAAGATTGTAAGCTGTTGTGCTGCACTGCAGGATAGCCCATACCGTACACCCATACATTGATTCTTGCTCTTTTAGGGTAATAACAGGTAAGGTGTGGCAGCTTAGTTGTGCCCGCCAGTAGGTAAATTACTTCACTTTCTACCTTCATCCACCAGAAGGCGCCGTGCTGTGCAGCACAAGGGTCTCAGCCTTTGGGCTGGGAGTATGTAAATTTATTGTACGTTTCCAGCATTTGTGGTTGTGTTTATTTGCCACATCTAAGTAAAATTCTGTTGTGGCAAAAGCTGGTGTTGGGGTTGCTTTCCTCATTCGTGACTTCACTGTATCCTGGGGAGCCCACCCCGGTACACGGCTTACATAACAAATACATTTGATGTATTATGCTTGATGTGATGACATGGATATCTGTACCTATTATATAATAGCACTTATAATGTATGCTGAATACAACTCCAGATATGGATATTGCATACATAGTTACATTGGTCCAGCTTGGATCACTGTAACTATATATATATATATATATATATATATATATTTTTTTTTTTTTTTTTTTTTTTTTTTTATTTATATATACACATAGTATGTTGCCAAAAGTATTGGGATGCCTACCTTTACACACACATGGACTTTATTGGCATCCCAGTCTTAGCCCGTAGGGTTCAGTACTGAGTTGGCCCGCCCTTTGCAGCTATAATAGCTTCAAATCTTCTGGGAAGGCTGTTCACAAGATTTAGGAGTGTGTCTATGGGAAGGTTTGACCATTCTTCCAGATGCGCATTTGTGAGGCCTTTATGTCGGACGAGAAGGCCTGACTCCCAGTCTCCACTCTAACTCATCCCAAAAGTGTTCTATCAGGTTGAGGTCAGAACGCTGTGCAGGCCAGTCAAGTTCCTCCACCCCAAACTCGCTCATCCATGTCTTTATGGACCTTGCTTTGTGCACTGGTGCGCAATCATGTTGGAACAGGAAAGGGCCAGCCCCAAACTGTGTTCACACAAAGTTGGGAACATGAAATTGTCCAAAATGTCTTGGTTTGTTGATGCCTTAAGAGTTCCCTTCATTTTAACTAAGGGGCTATGCCCAATTCCTGAAAAACAACCCCACACCATAATCACCCCTCCACCAAACATTACACTTGGCACAGTGCAGTCAGGCATGTACCGTTCTTCTGGCAACCGCCAAACCCAGAGACGTCCATCAGATTGCCAGACAGAGAAGCGCGATTCGTTACTTCAGAGAACACGTCTCCTCTGCTCTAGAGTCCAGTGGTGGCATGCTTTACACCACTGCAACTGACACTATGCATTGCACTTGGTGATGTAAGACTTGGATGAAGCTCCATGAAACTCTCTATGCACTGTTGTTGTGCTAATTCGAAGGCCACATGAAGTTTGGAGGTCTTTAGCAACCGACTCTGCAGACAGTTGGCAACTTCGGCGCACTGTGCAATTGAGCATGTGCTGACCCCGATCTGTCATTTTAAGTGGCCTACCTCTTGATGGCTGAGTTGCTGTTGTTCCCAGTTGCTTCCACTTTATTACAATAACATTAACATTTGACTGTGGAATATTTAGTAGCAAGGAATTTAATGAATGGACTTATTGCACAGGTGGCAACCTATCACGGTACCAACTTGAATTCACTTGAGCTTCTGAGAGCGACCCATTCTTTAAATGTTTGTAGAAGCAGTCTGCATGCCTAGGTGCTTAATATAATACACATGTGGCCATGGAGGTGATTAAATCCAATGATTTGGAGGGGTGTACACACACACACGCACGCACGAGCGCGCGCGCGCACGCACGCACGCACGCACACACACACACACACACACACACACACACACACACACACACACACACACCTGGTCGATGCCTCTGGAAGCTAGAAATCACTGAAGTAGATACTACTACTCCAGTGGTCTCCACTTGCTTCTGGTTCCTTTGCTGAGTGGCTGGTCTGATTCATTCAAAGGTGGTCAGCTGCACAGCATAGGCGTCATTCAGAGGATGTTTTGCACTTTTTAAATGAATGCAAAGCATTCGCTTATTGAATGAGGTGGAGAGCAGGAGGTCACCGCTCTGCCTCTCCCTCTCATCCAATCAGACAATGTTTTGCATTCATTCAGGAAATGTACAGCATTCTCTAAAAAATGCTTATTTTTTTGTTTTAGAATGCATCCGGCCACCCTATCAAGATGGGAACCAGAAACAAGTGGCGATCACTGGAGTAGCATTGTTTATTTCAATGATTTCCAGCTTTCCAGGGCATTGGCCAAGTATGGCATATACAATACATGGTCCAAGATGGGCCAGTCTAACTATGCATAAAATATCCATATATGGATTTTTTTCTTTAAATATTTACGGTAAATTACTGAACATCAGCAGTACCTGTACTAAAAGTTAAAAAGAAAAATCGCTTTTCAGGATCTGAGAGCAAAGTTTTGTATAAAAAATAAACACATGTAGTTTGGGATTTTATAGGCATCCAGACTGTTATTTCCTAAGAATACAATTTTTATTGATACATATCATAACACATCAATTAAAAATGAGATAGACAAATCTTAAAATGATAAGTGATCTTTGCAGCAGTGCGGGTATGATGATATGTTCTCATATTCCGACGCATTTCCAGACACTCTCTTCTTCAGGGAAACAGAGAAGGTACAGAAGATCGCTCAAGGGATCATTGAACACCGATGATAAAAACACATCACACTAGGGGAGCGTCTAGTCACTACCATGCAGCAGGCTCAGGGACATCTTGCTTGGCAGGATCACCGGCTCCACTCTGCACAAATATTTAGGTTACAGGCTGGGGTAATATATGAAAGTCCAAAGATGTGCAGCAAGGATTAGTGCCAATAGATTGGTATCTGATAGAGGCAGCAATATAAAGAATCATCAGACATCTCCAAGAATGAACACATCATTAGGGATGTCTGTGTTTACCCTTAGGGATGTAAAAACACTCAACTTTTGTTGAGAACAAACTTTTACCGCAGGAAACAGAATGGTTGGAAGGGAAAATTGTTGGATGGAATTACATTATAGATAGTGATAGCTGTTGCCAGGAACACACTGAAGCAGGACTAAGGCTGGATTCATAGCTGTGCTTTGTGGTGACAGGAATTTTACGGTGCATTGCTGCAAACCTTGGTAACACATAATCCGTGGTGTTGGGCAGTGTGGTTAATTTTGAAGAGCACCCAATCTACCTTGCCCATGCACCTCAACAAATATACATTTCAGGGCTCCACAACGCGCAGCTGGGAATCATCCATGTGTTGCGTCACACGATCAAACAGCTTCTATCATAATAAATGGTTATGTTTTTTCTCTTGAATTTTCCTTTAAATTTCATCCCGCCTTTCCTATCAGATCAATCCAACTAGATCTGTTTTGTTCTTGTTTAAATCAAAGAACAGAACTCCAGCCACTTGCTCATAACAATCAGCTGTGTTTAATTGTCCGTAAGCCTCAGTGCAGTATTTTTTCACAGGCCATTATCCCAGCCTCGCCACCCTCATCGGCCTTTTAATCACCAGAGATGTATCCGCCTGTAAATTATGTAGGATTCCCTTCTCTGAATGAGGCTATATTACTTCTAGGTCTCCCCCCGGAGGATTCTGCTCCTCCGCTTCTCTGAAACATTTAGTATCAAGAATATAAAACTCTCCAGAGAAGAATAACTGGCTGAAGGAATACATTTACTTTTATATTGGGGAAAGGAACTAGACTCTATTTACTATGAGCAAACCATAACAGAGCTTGAAATATTTAATGTGCTCTTATTCTGTGTTTGAGATAGAAATATGTTTGTTGCTTTGTTCTCGCTGTGGCTGAGCTAGAACTGCTCTTCCTCTTGGCATCTATAAAGAGAATATGTAATGGTGCAATTAAAATACGTAATCCTATACTATAGATCAGAAACATCACAAATGTCACTAGGGCAAAAACCGATGGGATTCTTTGACCAATTTAAATTTTTTTTTTTAATGGTGATCATAGTAGGATAAGTTTTTTTTTAATAGATAGTTTTCCATGTCAATGCAGTTACTGTATGACATGGGGAATCACAGCTTAATCCCCGGTTCACATCTATGCGGGTGGTGCCGCTGCGGATCCGCACGAAAATCCATGCAGCAGCACCACCCGCACAGAGAATTGCGGACCCACGGGTGGGTGCCATTAGTTCTAATGGCACACCGCCCGCACTGGGAAATGCAATTGTACTGGGAACCGAGGTTCCTGTGCGGGCTGCGTTTTCCAAAGTAGTGCAGGGACTTCTTTCCCTGCGTGTCACGGGCACGGGAGTCCATTTAAATGAATAAGCTCTCATACAGAGCAAAACACGGCCCCTACGGCCACATAGGTGTGCAGCTAGGTTCACTCAAGACTGGGCAGCCACCTATGCATATATGTGTGTCACGTTCTCTTCTTTTCTTCTCCAATGGTGAGGCTTTAGGCCAAAGAAATCTAGAAATCTTTTTAGGGGATAAAAAGTCCCCTATATGATGATTTTTTTGGCAACAGGTTCTCTTTAACCTCCCTGGCGGTATGATTATTTCAGATTTTTGGTGCTGAAAGCGGTACCATTTTTTTGCATGCAAATATGTATTTTTTTTATTCTAGGCCTGTAATTTTTAGGAATAACTCACTGAAATCTGTCCGAACAAGAGTCTAGTAAACATCCCGGGTATGATAACATTTGAAACACAAAATCATAAATTATAATTTAATAAATAATCATAAAAAATAATAATATAATAATAAATTTAATTCAATAATATAATCAAACCAAAAACACTGAAATTTGAAATATAGCGCCAAGTTCGCACATCACTGAGCAAAGTCGCAAAATCGTTTTCAGTGCCTGATGACGAAATTCCCCACGAATCATTATCACTATTTTGCAAGTGGTTCTAATTTACTATCGCTGTTCTCTAGCTAGCCTAAAACCGCTTTTGACATAAAGGGACGCTTTTTTTTGGACGCCATGGACGTTTCTCAGTTTCCAGGCATAAAGAACAGTAAAAATGAAGGCAGGGCACAGGATAAAGCACTCGGGACAAAATGTATGCGAAATGGTTTGATACAGTAATGTTATACTATGTGATTTTAGTGATTTTAGTGAATGTCACTTTTTGTCATCTTTGAACTTCCCGCCGTTCCGTCCCCCATACGTCCCGACGCTCGCAGGGGACGGAACCCAGATGACAGATGCCGGCATCTGCCGGATTACATTGCCAGGGACACTGCAGGAGGGACATCGCGGGAGCGCAGGACAAGGTAAGTGATCGAGGGATCGCGGAGCAGCACCGCATAGTATTCCCTAGTGTAGCTCGGGGTTACCGCTTGTGGTACTGAAACCGTACTGTACTGGGAATACCGCCAGGGAGGTTAATGAGACACCCTGGATGTCTCACCTGTGCTCAACTGACTGTAATGTAATGCAGTTCGCATTGCAATACATTCTTTCCTGGACATGCTGCTGGCCGGGGAAACTGACATGGGGCCAGTAGTAACATTTTACATGTTGCTTCCAGGTAAGCAACAAGGAGGGGAGGAGAACAGATGCATGCCCACTCTGCTCCGTCCACTCTACCTAGCTGCACCCGCTATGCTGGTCCTGGGCCCACAGATGGGCAAGCCGAACCCAGGATACATGGCTGGGGCATGGACCATTACAGGGGGATGAAAGCAATTCAGTGCTGGACTGCTTTCATCTGACAGCTAGAAGTCAGCTTGTCAGATTTACATGAAATTCAAGTGGCTGCAATCACTGGGAGTGTGTGTAAAACCCCTGCAGCAAAAGGGTAAAAGTATTGTACACATTCAACTGTGTTTGTTGTTTTAACTAGGTATTAACCACTTCAGAAGCGGGCACGTTTACCCCCGTCCTGCCCAGGCCAATATTCAGCTTTCAGTGCTCTCACACTTTGACAACTGCGCAATCATGCGGTGCTGTACCCAAATTAATTTGTATCATTTTTGTTCAGACAACTAGAGCATTCTATTGTTGGTGTTTAATCACCATTGGGTTTTTTATTTTTTGCTAAATAAATGAAAAAAAAAAACTAAAGATTTTGCAAAAAAAAATCCATGTTTTTCTTTGTTTCTGTTATACAATTTTGTAAATAAATAATTGTTCTTCATAAATGTAGGCCAAAATGTATTCTGCTACATTTCTTTGGTGAAAATAACCCAAATCAATGTTTATTATTTAGTCTGTAGGAAAGTTAAAGAGTCCACAGACTATGGTATATATCTGAAAATCGATCAATCCTGCTCTACTAGTGGCCAATCTAATTTTTTGAGGCCCAAAATGTCAGGACAGTACAGATATCCACCAAATGACCCCTTTTTGGAAAGCAGACAGCTTGAGGTATTTAGTAAGAGGCATAGCAAGTCTTTTTGAAGTTGTAATTTTTTTGTCATAGATTTTTGGAAAAGAAATAAAAAAAAAAAAAATCACAATTTTAATTTTTTAACCCATGCTGTCACCAATGTAGTACAGCGACATCATATAACTGGTATGGCGGTGATCAGGAACGTTGACTGGTGACAGTACAGGGAAAAGAATACTTATTTCAAATGTTTACATTTATTCTGTATCACTTTGTTTTCTTTTTTATGATTTTTTATAACACACTGTGACCAGAGTAGTATAAAGTTACCATAGTAACATTGTACTACTCTGGGTAAGTAATCAGTATTTTTTTTTACACATTTTGATTGCTTATAGCAAAGAATTTAATTGAAAGCATTTACCTAAATGAAATCGATTAATTCAGGTTTTTTGTTGTGATTAGCTGTGACTATCCACAGCTAATTACCTCACACAGATGGACTGTGATTGGCTCAGTCTGTATCATGTGATCACTGTGACCTAGCAACACAATTGTATACAATGGATGTCATGAAAGGAAGCCATTCATTGTTTACAATTGTCATGTGACCTGCTGTGATTGGTCACAGCGGTCATATGGCATTAGCAATGGGCTGGTACATAAATCTGGCCGGTAACAGATCTTGCCACAGCGCAGCCCCATGGGTGCACACGAGCTGCGATCCGGGAGGACGTCATATGATGCCCACTCAGAGCGATGAAAGTCCCGCCTGGCTAATAGCAAATTTACAGTTAAAGTAGTTATATTCCCTTTGTTGTTTGTCTTACCTTGTAATGATGGGAAAACATGTTGTGGTTGAAGTTTGTAGAGTCATGGCTGCTTAATTTACCTATATCCATTTATTGCTACAGCTAGCCTGTCCCTAGGGACTTCTTGTTCTGGGTCACAGTGTGTCCAATCTATGGCTTGCCATTTCCTCTGGGGTACATCCAGGGGCGAACTGACCATTTGGAAACTCGGGCACTGCCCAAAGGCCCGGGGTCAGTAGGGGGCCCCATGAGATGCCCCTGGCACCTTTTTAATTTTTTGAGTTTGGGCAAGGACACAGGGGTCCCATGATCCCCTATTCCCCAGGGGCCCCATGAGTTGTCAGTCCACCCCTGGGTACATCACAAATGTGGGAGAATAACACACTCCTACTGTTCCAAGTAAGCCAGCAACATAGCTCCATACTTCAGCATGAAAAAGGTGCCAGCCCAGCTTGCTGCTGCACTATAACAAGAAAAGATCTGGAAGGCTACACTTAATCTTCAATGCATCATCATCTTTATTCAATCAAAAAATGTCAATAAAAGCACCAATAATGTACAGATGTACACATGAGGGGGAGAGGGAGACTTCATTGCGTTTCACACACTCGCTGTGCTTTTTCACAAGTGTGTGAAATGGATTAACCTCTCTCTCTCTCTCCTGTGTGTACATCAGTACATTTTTGCTGCTTTTATGAACATTATTTTTTTATTTTAATTAGATATGACACAGACACAAACAGGCAAATCAAATAACAGAGGGCTCGCCATGCAGCAGAGATGCAGAGATGTGCTTGATTGCATTAGCACTTCCCCATTTGTTGCACCATACACAAGACTAGATCTGGACCACTGCACTCCCTTAACTCCTTCCCGCCTAACCATAAAACAAATGGTAATGCTTAAGCACAATTTTGCAACTTTGACATGTGTTAGTAAAATTGTACATATCGTCACAACTACTTTCTGTATCCAAGTGGATTTTACCTTTTTTTTTTCAGGACAAATTGTGCTTAGTTTTTGTGGGAAATAGTAACAGAGATCTCCTGATTTTGTTTTGTTGTTATCAAAGGAAAACTGTTCCAAGATAATAAAAAAATATAATTTTTAAATTTAGGTAAATATTTCTTGCTATTACCATAGTTTTTTTTTTTACAATACTTTTGTTCAAGTTTAAGAGTTAACCAACAAATTAAAAAACAATAACATTACAGTTACACAGTCTGTCAATTAGGGTTCACACCCCTATATAGAGTATTGTCACAGGGAAAAAAACGTGCATAATAGAGGAACATAACAGTGCAATATATCTCAATATATTGTTCTATTTATTGTTACTCTTACATCTCTGTGGGTGTTACCATTATACACACTAAGCTATATGGATATCATGGGATGATAGCCTAGAGGGTTGGTTATTAATATGAATAATAGGCACCAAAGAGGCGCACTGTATATATTGAGCTAAAAAAAAATAAGCCTTCAAACTTGGGTCAAAAAAGAGAAGAGGAATGTGAGAATCCTCATTATGCTTCAATTCATCTTGGAAATTTATTTGGGGCAAAGTCAAGAGCTCAGGAATAGGGTAAATCATAGGATTTAGAAAATGATAATAACGGCCACTTGTTGAATGGTCCAGATTTATTATATTTCCAAAGTGGCATATCAGAAGTATACCGCAGAATGGGGTATAGAAGGGAGCAGTGGAGGAGGAGGAGGTATATGATAAGATAGAGTAAGGGGGGATAAGGGAAGTATAAGGGAAAGCAATCAATTCTCCCTGATGAAGCCACGTGACCGGTGGAGTAACGCGTAGGGGAGGGGCTCTCTGACGTCACCACGCCCAGTCGGCTTCTATACGGCGAGTACAGCTAGTGTGCAATGCACACAAGGAGATATGCATTAAAGCTTGTTTTAGTTATTTAAAATGTGAGTGCAATACAATGGCTATGCAATAAAGTGTTTTATAAGGGTAAAGCCCTATCTTTTGTTTTCTTTTTTTTGCATTATATGTGTGGAGACTTCTGGAGTGGATCTAGGAGGATTATTCCCCTTGGAGATTCTGAAGTGGATCTAGGAGGATTATTCCCCTTGGAGGTGAGAAGGAGGAAATATCCATCCATCCATCCATCCATCCATCCACAGATCTGCATAGGATAGTAATGAGAGGAGAGACACCAGGTGGATAATCAGGAAATCACGCTGTGAACACATTCAAAGAAGGTGGTGAACATCAGTGCACATTTTATCCTTTTAGGATAAACAGCTTGTTTAGCCTGTATTTTTGGGCTAAAAATGGAGGTGGTGAGCGCATAATTGAGCTTTCATATATACCGCAATCATCTATATGTTGGAGTGAATTCACCTATTTGTACCCATCTCTCAAAAAAGGAGGATTTCACTTTATTATTGATATTGGACACATAATAATGTTATTACACTAATATTTCTCTATATCCTAAAGGGATCATTCAAGTAATTTTGTGTACTGTTTGGATAATATATTGTAAGGACTTACACTGTTTTTATAGTTTATTTACATCAATATAGGAGCGCAGCCAACAGTTATTTGTTTTTTATATAGATTCTGACACTATTTATGAGTTGGTGTGATGTGATTGCGAACCTATTTGTGCATTTAAATAGGGTGATTTAATTTTTATTATTTTTGAAAACATTTATTAATTTTTTTATTTATATATACTTTTTTTTTTCACCTATTTATAGAAATTCACCATCTTAGCTCATGAGTAATAATTAGCATTTGATTGAAGTATTTGGAGGATTCATCCAGAGTATATGAGAGGAAGGAGTAAAGTGTCTCCGTCCACTGTCTGTGGATAATATGACTATAGTGGTCATGGTTTGTGTATATTCTGCTAATTCCACATGGTGGTGCCAGCAAATGCGCAGGTTTTCATATATTTTGCAGGTGTTTCCCATGCTTGATGGACAAATTCCTCCATTTTTTGCAGTTTTACCAAAGCATCTGAGCCAGTCCATTAATGTCGGAGGAGTTGTTTATACCAGAGTACTGGTATACACACTTTTGCTGTGTTGACTAAATACATAGCCAACAATCAGTGGTATACTGCTCGTGGGAGTGAGGTGTGATTTAGGAAAAATTGAGCTGGGGTAAAGTCTAGATTTTATGTTGTAATTTGGGTAATAAGGTGGTGGACTTCCCTCCAGTAAGGCTGGATTGCAGGACAGGACCACCATACATGCAAAAAAGATCCTATGTTGTCGTTTACATCTCAACATTTTGGTATGTAGGTGATATCTTATGAAGTCATAAGGGGGTTCTATACCATCATGAGAGAATTTTAAATCCATTCTCCTGTGTGGAGACATTAACTGTTTCCTTGTATGTGTAAAGGAAGATGCACTCTCATTCCTCCGTTGAAAGGTCTATGCTATTATTATAATTTACCACCAAAAAAGAACCCAAAATAAATTCTCCTGCTCCTGGTGATCACAATGATACCACATATGTGTGTTAGTTTTTGTTTGTACCTAACCATGATCTTTGACCCCAATCTTGACATTTGACCCTGGCCTTGACCTCAACACTAACCCTGGAAAACCTTGATCTTGTTATTTTTTTTTTCTTTTTTATTCTTTTTTTTTATTTATTTATTACACACTTTTGTTTGCATATATTTTTTTTCTCCTGCAAAAAAGAGAAAGATACAATGTTGCTTTCCCTTCATTCAGAAGAGGAAGAAAACACAGGGGGGAGCTCACAGTGACTGATCACTGTGATAGCCAATCAGAGACTATCAGAGATCAGATGGCCTAGAACCGGTAGTCCCAGGTCTCGACCAATATTACTAGACCCAGGGTTCTCAGTCAGAGCCCCCAGTCTCTGTGCGGTACACTCCCAGCACAAAGAGAGATATGCATATATGTGGCCCCACAGAAAAAGACTTACTTCCGTGAGGCCACATTTATGCGTACAGTCGGCGGGAAGGGGTTCATCTTCAATACATCACCTTTATTCATTTCTTGAATTGATTGAATAGAGGTGTTGCATTGAAGAATAACCAGCTCAATTCTGGGATTTTCCTGCCAGGCCAATTTTCAGCTTTCAGGACTGTCGCACTTTGAATGATAATTACTCAGTCATGCAACATTGTACCCATATGAAATCGTTATCATTTTTTTGAGACAGAAAGAGTTTTCTTTTATGTGATATAAATGGAAAGACCGCAAATGAAAAAAAAAACATTTTTCTTAGTTTCTGTTGTACAATTTTGCAAATAAGTAATTTTTCTTCATACGTGTTAATAAAAATTTATGCTACTACATTTCTTTGGTAAAAATAACCAAATCAGCGAGAGATTTGAAAGTAATGTTCCCTTTTAGGTTTTATCTACATGGCATCTACTGTATTTTTTGCTCCATAAGACACACCTGACCATAAGACGCACCTAGGTTTTAGAGGAGAAAAACAAGAAAAAAAATATTCTGAACCAATGGACTGCAGACATAGTACAGGAGATGACCAGAGACTGCGGACACAGTACAGGAGATGACCAGAGACTGCGAACACAGTACAGGAGATGACCAGAGACTGTGGACACAGTACACGAGATGACCAGAGACTGCGGACATAGTACAGGGGATGACCAAAGACTGCTGACATAGTACAGGAGATGACCAGAGACTGCAGACATAGTACAGGAGATGACCAGAGACTGCAGACAGTACAGGAGATGACACACTGTAGACATAGTACAGGAGAAGACCAGAGACTGCAGACAGTACAGGAGATGACCAAGAGACTGCCAACTGTACAGGAGATGACCAGAGACTGCAGACAGTACAAGGGATGACCAGAGACTGCAGACATAGTACAGGGGATGACGAGAGACTACAGACATTACAGGGGATGACCAGAGACTGCAGACAGTACAGGGGATGACCAGAGACTGCAGACAGTACAAGGGATGACAAGGAAACTGTGGACCTTTGGGGAGGGAGGGGGAGCGGGTACCTGAATTTGACAGGTACCCTCTCCCACTTCCATGGAGGTGTCCTCCCTGTAGTGTGGGTACCTGGCTGTGACAGCCAGGTGCCCACTGCGCTTGCGCGAGAAGCGCTGCACTTTGTGAATGGCTCGGTGTCTTCTGGGACACATGACAGGTCCCAGAAGATGCCGGGCCATTCACAAAGTACAGCGCTTCTCGCGCATGCGCAGGGAGCA